CAGGTAGCCCTCGAGTATAGATTATAACTCCTGACCAATATCATATCAGGTGGTTTTAATTTATGGTCTCTGGTAGAAATTAATTGTACAATACTCTGAACATAAAACCATCTTACTATTTGCATTTCATTGTTTTCTTATTATTTCCATCAGCCAGAGAAAGACAAAATTATTATGAGGGAGCACGCTTTGACACTGTCATATTGGGCCAGAGTCAGATACAATACTTGATTTAACTGAAATGTTTTTCCCCTGTCTTTCCCCACACTTTCCCCTGTATTAGTCCTATCAAGACTTTAGCGGCCTCAAGTGGTAGTGAGCCTTAACATCAGAGGTTTACTTCCAGAATTTGTGTTTAATAAATACTGGTTTGTAAAAGTGCATTGTTTTCCAGAAAATTCAGAACACCAGACTGAATTTGGATCCAGCCCTCACTCTGCCTCTCTCTCTCTCTCTGTCTTACATCTCTTACTCCGTTTTGCACCACCACCTTGCCCTGTGAGTCAGTTCACATGCAGTCACCCCAGTACCTGCTCTTTCAACCAGTGCCCTTGTTATTTTACTTTTTCATGCACACTTGTATGTACTTGGACGAGGGGGAGGATTAATATTTGCATATCCTGGGCGGACTCCTGTTATCCTGTGCTCAGTTGGGCCCTCGGGCCAAGGTGTATAGATGACTCACTCACTGTTAGGCACTGCAAGGGTCCCCTGTGTTAGAGAAATCCTGGATGGGAGGACACCAGTTTTTTACCTGCCAGTCCAAACAGTGCAATGAGATCCTGCTCCAAGCCTCAGAACATGATTGCTCTGTATAGTTGTTCTCAGGCTGCCCCCAGGTCAGACCGAAAAAAAAAAAAAATTCTTGCAAGTCAGTTGTTTGCAAAGGTATTACAATGTTTTGACAGAGTACCGTGTCCGGTAGGGGAAAAATAATTATTTATTGCTGAAGACTTTGGGGCAGTGTAGTAGATTCCAACTGTCTGTTTTAAATTAAGTTATATATCTTACAACAAGTAATAAATAATTAGGTTTATATCCATCCATCCATCCAT